AAACAACACACACACACACACACACACACACACCCCTCTCTCTTCCAGGCCCCCTAAAGCGGAGATTCTTCTTTGTCAGCTGCAATGCAAGAGTTAAATTCCAGAGATAAATTTTAATCCAAACAATCTGCAGCCATCAGCATTAAGTTGGTGCCCGCCAGCTGGTGATAGTTAAGTGGTTACTTTCTCAAACTGAACCTATTAGCTAAAGGTCGAGACACTTGGTAATACTCTACTGAGTTTAACAATTGTTCATTCCCTCAATGTGCAGTACATTACTGCAGGGGAGAGGGAGCGCCCTGGGGGAGGACAGACGTCCAACGAGAGAAGGCTGTGATAACCAGAGCGCCTCAAGAAATTCAGAGTGCTGCCGAACCAGCCTTCCATCCCACGCTCCCCCATCGCAAGAGAAACCCAGGCCCAGCCATGGGAGAACAAGGACAAGCCATCACTGCTCCCCTACATGTCCTGGGTTTGTGGGGGGTGGCTGTGCTGCAGACATTACTGAAGTTGGGTCCTCCCATCCTTTAAATGGGAAAGAAATAAAGACAAAATCCTTTTATAAAGGAAGCTAATAAAAATCCATTCATTCACCGCAGAGGCCACATTGGCTCCTCCAGAAACACCGCTCAGGAATCATAAAAAGCGGGATTGGCGTTGTAGTTGTTTGCTGTGGATTAAGACAGGAGCAAATCGACGGGGCTTTCTGAGCCTTGCACTGAAAAGTGGCACTATGGGCCTAAAGAGAGGACCCTAAAACATGCCGCTTCACCATCTCATTCTCCAAGCCACCCACCCACAATATGGTCCCCAAACTGCCTCACGATTATTTTGCTTGACCCTAATTTTCTATAGTTGTAATCAGCTCTAGGCGTGAAAAGGCAGTGCCACTTGGAAAGGAGACCGCAGCCTCCAGACACAGAAGGGAAACAAAGTTCCTCTTAAGCAAGTGGAAGGCTGGGACCATCAGTTGTGGTCACTGTTGTTCACCATCCATGTTAAATAAGACCAGATGGAGCAGTACAGTGTGGTTATCTGAGGGACAGGACTTTCATATTGTGGTCAGAATGTACCTTAAAAAAAACAAAGCAAATTCTGCCCCCAATTATACTCATGCAGCCACACTAACTTCTAAGCACAAAATGCATTCACAGATTTAAAGAGACAGTAAAAAAATAAAAGCAAAAGGGACTCAGGAGAAGGGGAAGAACATCAAATTACCATTTTTTCAAATTGTTTTTTTATGAATGCAGTTTCCTAATCACATTTTTTCCATTCTCTGTCCCGGATTGTTGTTCCCCACACACGTATACCCCCCCCCCCATAGGAAACTGACTATATACGGGAAACTGTGAAACCGATCCTCTACCAAGTGCTGTCAAATGTACTAAGCAAAAACTGAAAATACAGAGAAAGTTGCAACTGAAAGACATTAGCGAGACTGACACCTAACATTACTGGAACAATAGCAGATAAAGAGAAATGAATTTAAATTCATGTCCCTTTTAGCAGATGATTTTCACTCTTATTTCTCAGTACAAGCCACTAGGGTCAACACCATTGCTAGAAAGGAAGTGGCAACTCTCAGTTCTATTGATAGGGGTTCATTTTTCAGGAGCTGGGATTATCAATTGCTCCAGATGTTTTAGAAAAAAAAAAAAAAAAGAAGAGTGTGAACATGGGGAAAAGGGGGGCTGCTACTGACTTTCCCCTTGTCAACACTCCGGAACACTGTATCTAGGCCTGAAAGGGACATTCTACACTGAGAAGTGGCTACATAAAATTGTCACCTCGTTCAACAGACCTGCTCCCATGAGTATTCAGTCTTATTTGCTGACTCTCAAACAAGCGTCTATGGCTTTCTACTCCCGTTAACTCTCCCGAGACAGATATGGCAGAGAGGAATGGAGAAGGATTCTTTTTTACATCTATGGAATTACTTACGAAGCGGTAATCACTTACATCTGTGCAAATCTACTGAGGGGCTGCTCAGCTCAATTTGAACTCTGTACCAGGCTGAACCTTCGTTGCTGGGTGTGTTGCCAATAACTGGTCCTTTGCCACGTCTAGCATAAACTTCCATGCCACCATTCAATAGTTAAGAAACCAAACTGACCTTTGGCCATTATTTCACTGCATTCCAGGCCTTCTCTTTCTGACTCATTCTCTTCAGTACCTTGCTGATATGAGAAGCTGAGCTGCAGGGCTTGATTTGTGGTAGCTTTACTAGGTTTAGATTTCCATGAGGTTTGGGAGGCTACTATTTCCACAGCAACAAAGTGACCAGCTTAGGAGCACGCTCTCCGTTTACTGCAACTTTCACAGGACAATTTATAGTTTACAGATTCTCTTGAGTGTCCTGTGGTGTGCTTAATGCCATGACCTAATGGCACAAACAAACCAGGGCTGCCTGTGGCGGGACATGGTCACAGAATGCCTGGTATGAGATGAACTGAACACTCCTGGATAACTCCTCGTTTGACAGCCAATGGCCCTCACTCCAATCCCAACCTTAATTACATGTCAATCCAGGGCCCAGGTTAACCAGTCTGCCTTCCCCCCCTTGTATCCACACAACGTTCATAGCAAGACTCAAGTTTTGATGATCCTGTATCAGAGATACGACATGCGTAAGCGCAGCACATTCATAAACCCTGGAGACTGCAGATAAGCTAAAGAAAGTGAAGGAGAAAAATCACATTCCTCTTCAGTTCAGGTGAGAAAAAGGAAAACCTTTTCCTTTCTTCCTTTGGAAAAAAAAATGGAACTAATTTTCTTGAATAGGACAGATCTGATGTCAAATGCAGAAACTCTGAATTGTGCTGTGTATGGTATAAGCTAAAAAATTATCCACATGTAGTGAGGACAGGGAGTAATTTCAGTTACTAAGTCTCTGGGGACACAGCTTTGTTTTGGATAGACAGGTCTACCTCTTAACCTTCCCAGGCTTAAATATGGAACACACAGTAATAAAGAAGCTCTAGAAGATGAATGATTCAATTTCTTTAGCATAAACTTAATAGCCTATAAGTGGAGGTTCATGATTCAATTTCATTGACCTCAGTAATCGATGGTAATAAAATGGAGATACATCTCAAAATACATGTGGGACGTGGGGGGAAAGAGGCCTGCATTTAACATGAAGGACATTTCCCCTAATGAGACAAGCTTGCATGCAGGATTCATGTTTTCTGAAGGAGAGCACGATGGGAGCATCAAACCAAAAATTCATCACTGCCATCCACCAGCAGCAAACTTCCATGCCCAGGTCACGGCTGAGTACTCTGCTACCCACTGCAGGTTTCTGAAAGCACACTTGGCATACACATGGCTTCCAGACTCACCTGCCATGCTCTCCTTTTAGAACTTGGCTCGCAATACAAAAATTTGTGTTTGGGTTTCATATTAACATTAATGGAGTTTTTTTGGAAGGGAGAAAGAAAAAAAAAACACCCCACATATGGCGAACTAAGGAAATGAAAAGCAACTCCGCCAAAATAAACTCACCCAAACCCAATTCCTCCTGTCCCACCAAGACTCTGTGGGAAGAGATACAAATTTCCAGTTGACTTACCCTCTTCGCAGTTACTCCCTGTGAACCCAGGACAGCACCTCCACTCCAGGGTGGTCACCGTTCGGTAAGACATTTTGTACGTGGGCCTGATAAGAGTCCTGTAACTAACACAAACGAGAAATCAGCAAACTGCACCTCTCCATCCTGCAGAGCATCACTGCCAGTTTGACCCATTCTGTACAGAGGGGCCATTTCTTCCCACGCATGGGACTATCCCAATATCCAACAACATACAAAGTTGCCAGGTGGGTTTGGGTGAGGGAATCAGCATGTTGTGGGTTTGATCCTGCTGTGCTTACTCGCTGCTGAACTCAATGGCTTTGCTCGTGAATGGGTGAGGGATCAAGAGAAGCGCATGCGTATTTAACGCCCCATGCGCCAAACCCAATATTTCCCAGAACTCCTCTTCCTTTTTTTTTGGGTAGATATTCACTAAACACAGTCCCACATATACATTACATTTCTCCATACCATAATATCAGAGGATCAGTTTGCAAAAAGGGAGGCCAAAGATAGGACACACAAATTGTGTATCGACACTGGGACATACAATTAGCATGACTGCACACACCAAAATGAGCAAGGATCATCTTGTGGTTAGAACACCAGAATGGGATCCAGGAGATTTGGGCTCAATTCCTGGCTCTGCCATTGACTCCCTTTGTGACTTCATTTAATCTGTGCCTTAGTTTCTCATCTGTTAAATGGGGATAAGGCAAAGAAAGGAGGAGTCATCTATAAGCAGCTCTTTGGGGCAGGTTCTCTCTCACAGCACCTAACATAGCAGGGCCTTGATCTCAGTAGGGACATCTAGGCACTATTACAATACAAATCATAGTGCATATATTTGGTGATAGTCTTGATAGCCATTTGTATGCACAATTAGTGATTTGCACACACCATCGCCTGACACACGTGTGCAATCATGTTATTGCCACAGGCAAATTTATATATGCAACTACATGCAAATCCTGAGCTTCTTTTTTGAAAATTTGGCCCTATCAAAAAAATTTAATATATTATATATATATATATATATTCAGCAAATTAGGTTTCCCTGCGTTAGCTGGAGTAATTGTTGTCACTCTTTAAGAAGCTTCAGGAGAACACGGTGGAAGGTTTTAACATGTGTAAAAGTTATATTCTATAAACTTGCTCTCACATTTATACTCCGATACAATGAACTGGGGCGTGGCCAGTAGGAGGAGAGACTGAAGGTGGGGGAAGAGACTAAGGAACTCTGCATTGTGGCTTTATGATTCTTTTAGGGAAACTTACACCATGTGACAGACTTAAAACGTACAGCATTCCATCAGGAACCGCCTGTGACTTGCAATATCTAAAAACGCCAGTAGGTGGAGCTCTGTCACCAAGCCCAGTATTACTCTAGTGTACTGCAATACCCAGGGCCAGTTACAGAGAAAGTGATTCTCAGAAGGAATGGGCAGTCTCCCTCTATTGGCATGGGCTGCCCTCTGCTGGGATGAGGGGATCTCTGCCTTAGAACAAGAGCTGGAATTGATTAAACAGGCAATCGGGCATTGGAAGCAAGTCCCTTGCACTTTTGGTATGATCATGATTGGAGGATGAACTGTATGCTTGAGCGTGGAAGAAAGGTGAACCAAGAAGAGCTTATGTCACCAAAGGGAGCACTAAATAATGAGAACCAACCTTGATTCCTATAGGTCTCCGTGTGGGATCATATCAGAAAAGGTCTTGCAATACAAATGGTAAGGTTAATTTGTTAACAGCAGCCGTAATGCAAGCATACCAGCAAGGGGTGCCCCTTTGTTTACTGAACACAAGTTGGGGTCTCCGCTACTCTAAGCACGTAAGCGATATTTATGCCAATTGCCCACTCTGGAGACGGACAAGTTTTCTCCATTTATCCACAGGACAGGCACTGCGTGAGCAGCAGTAGCACAAATTCCCTCACCAACATGCCACAACCCTGACCTGGGAGAATAATTCAGTCTCCCTGGACCATTCAGTCCTTGGCCTCGCCACTGAATTGCCAGCAAGCATGCCAACTATGAGCGAGAAGTTTGTCTAATCGGGGCTGAACAGAGCCAAGTAACTTCACCTAGTTCTTTGCATAATGAAAGGTTTCAGAGTAGCAGCCGTGTTAGTCTGTATCCGCAAAAAGAAGAACAGGAGG